TGACGCTGGTATTACTGTTGCGTCTAAATCGGGCACTGATACGAAGGAATCTTCTTGTTCGGATTGTGAAGCGGATGAATCCTGTTCTTTCCTGGATTCTTTCTGTCTTTTCAAGATAGATTTGATAGCCTGTTTATCCACAGGGTGTTTGTGGATCTTAGACCCAAGAGTCTTTCTCTTCGGCTCTCCTCCTGTGGTTGTTGTGGCTAAAGCAGTTTCTTCTTCTTCATCCGTTTCCCACTGTTTTTCTTCGGTACTCTGAGGACCTTCCCATTTCCATTTTGGGGCCTCTTCATCTTGGTCATCGTCCAGCACTTCGAGTATATCTTTCTCTTCTGAAGGTGTTGGCGAGGGAACTGGTGAGGACCATCGTATCTTGTACGGTCGTACATAACTTATGTGGATTACATCTGTCCACTCTGGGTTTTCATCATCTTGCACCCTGATTACTACAGGGTTAATTCTGTCGATGACGGTATATGGTCCTTTATATTTCGGGGACCATTTTCTGCCTACAAATGTAGCAGCGTCATGGCGTCGTATCCAGACTTTGTCGCCGATTTCATAGTTGGCGCCCTTCTTATGGATGTTTATCCTGTCTAAATATGATGCCTGATTTTTTCTGATGGCTTTTTGGGCACGATCGCGTATTACCTCAAATTCTTCCTTTCGACTTTCATTCTTGATTTCGTCGAGCTGCGCTTTATCCATGTACATCGGAACCCAGTAATTGCGGGGTTTCATTCCCGTAACTACTTCAAAAGGCAAAGCCTGTAAAGCCTCGTGTTTTGACGAGTTATGCACCCATGCGGCGAATTTTAATAATTCATCCCATGTTTGCCTATTATACGTATTACCTCAAACTCTTCTTTTCTGCTCTCATTCTTGATTTCGTCAAGCTGCAATTTATCCATGTACATCGGAACCCAGTAATTGCGGGGTTTCATGCCCGTAACTACTTCAAAAGGCAAAGCCTGTAAGGCCTCGTGTTTTGACAAGTTATGCACCCATGCTGCGAATTTTAATAATTCGTCCCATGTTTGCCTATTATCCGGATCCAAATACAAAGCTAAATACTCGTGCAGTTTGCGATGGGCTCTCTCGTTTTGCCCATTTCCTTGTGGTCTATACGCGGTGGTCGTGGTGGCCTGTGCCCGAATAAACCTGGCCATGTCCCTAAATATGCTACTCAAAAAGTTTGTCCCCCTGTCTGTTAATATCTTTTTCGGGGGTCCGAATAAACAAACCCAATCTGGTGGGAACCTGCTTAGAGCATCCGCATGTGGAATACTCAACCCTCTTTTGTATTCAACGGTGTATTCATATTCGTTGAGGGCCATGAACCATCCGATTGCTCTCCTGCTGTCGCTGTTCTTTTGTCGGGCCAGATATGGGATTGCAATGTGGTCCGTTCTGATTTTGAATTTATGTCCCCACAAATATGATCTAAATTGGGACACTCCATAATATACAGTTAGGAGTTCTCTATTGGTGTTCGAGTACCTTGACTCGGCTCCATTCAGAGTTCTTGATGCACATCCTATGAGGACTTCTTTTTATCCTTCTTCTGAGTCAGGATCGCGCTGATTGCATGTCCTGACCCATCAGTCGTTAGTATAAACTCTTTGTCAAAATCTGGGAAGGACAGGATTGGGGCATCTAGAAGACATTGCGTTAGGCATTTCTTTGCTTCTTCTTGCTCTTTTCCCCAACTAAACTCCGTGTCCTTTTTTAGTAGGTTATATAAAGGCCTCGCTTTTCTTGCAAAATCCTTAATATAAGATCGAAAATAACCTACTAAGCCTAGAAAAGCTTGTACGCCTTTGATATTGTTGTCTTACAAAATAGGTTTTACAGTAAATCGATATGAAACTTCGATTTACCAACTTTTAAGAAGATCACCCAATTCTGCTTGACCCTTTTTTATTATTTGCTCCTTTAAGTTGGGCGCGCCTCAAACCAGCAACACACAGTTGCTAAGTGGAAATAAATGTATAGCTCTTCTTATTCAATTGATCATGTATTTCCATCAATACATATCCTATAACGTACTCTTCTCCTCAAGAGGGTATCAACCACTGAAGAAATATAGGGAAGAGAAAGAGCTTTTATCAACTTGGGAGGCAATGTTGGGATCATCAAATAAAAGTGGGGAAAGGGGATGAACAACCAGTTTGGACTAATATATTCAGCCCGTCTGAGTCCCGATCAGATATGCATGTACAAGAAACAGAGTTGCACAAGATTGCACCGTCCTGCATTAATGAGCAGGTGCGCTCGGTCCTTTTGGGCCACCAGGGGCTTTCATGAAATTAGGGTCATATATTAAGGGCATGATGACATATTACAAAAAAGGCATTCAATATAATATTACAAAAAAGACCACGAAGTTTCATGGATTGTCAGGGTGCAGATGGCTAACACAAAAGAATCAATATTTACTTTGATCTGTACCTTAAGATACTGAACTTGGAACTTATTGTGAGCAATGAGAACCAGAAATACGGCTAACAATTCCCAGCAAATCTCGTGTTTCTAAACACCCCTCATCTAAATTTTCGACACGTCCCTTGCCTCGTTGGCCCTTTCCCTGGCCCCTTGCTTGGCCAGGGCTCGACAATCAGGAGTCGGGACTTTTGCTGCGACTTGGGGATCTACCGTCTTGGGATCCCCTAGTCACGCGCAGAAGCCCACTGTCCGCTGGCAAGGAGAGCATCAGTCTTCTCCCTCGCAGGGGAGGTAAAGCCTTTTGCTCTCCCTGGTAGCCACTCGCACCGTTTCCTATCCGAACATTGCCACGTGCCCTACATTCTGTCGCATAGTGACCTGGTTTTCCACAATTGTAACACGTACGTACTACTTGACTAACGCTAGTGGTTACAGCTGAAGTACAAAAAACCCTTCGAGACTCGGCCGTCTGTTGGAATTTCCTTAATTTTTCAACATTGGTGGCGGCCTCTATTGCCTGCTTTAACGTTACTGGAACAAAAGCCTTTTGCTCTCCCTGGTAGCCACTTGCACTGTTTCCTATCCAAACATTGCCACGTGCCCTACATTCTGTCGCATAGTGACCTGGTTTTCCACAATTGTAACATGTACGTACTACTTGACTAACGCTAGTGGTTACAGCTGAAGTACGAAAAACCCTTCGAGACTCGGCCGTTTGTTGGAATTTCCTTAATTTTTCAACATTGGTGGCAGCCTCTATCGCTTGCTCTAACGTTACTGGGACGACGCTGAATCTCTTTATGAAATCAGGTTGCAAGCCTGCCATAAAGTGGCTCAGCATGATCTCATCTATTTGAGCCATGCGACATTCGTGTTGTAAAGTTTCTTCAGCCAACATAGGGTTAGCGACTATCTTAGGCTCAGAGTTTTCTACTCGTAGCACCTTGATCTTACTTGGGCCCTCACCCAACATCTCTAGTCCAATTTTCTTAATACGTACGGAATAATCGAGGATGTTCTCGAGGTCACCTTGCAAGATTTTCTGCAGTTTTAGCACGCCCAAACCCATCAAATCACCACTGTATGCCTTTTCTAGAGCTCTTACTATCGTGGGATAAGGTTGGTCTAGCAACCCTGGGGTCGCGTTGTTTAAAAACTCTTTCGCTTTTCCAGTGACTCTCTGGCGTATCACTGATCGCATATGTGCATCGGTTACCTCGCAGTCGGCTAGAGCTAGGCGAACTTCGTTCCACCAGTCTACCCAAGTGCCTTCGGCTCCCGAGAACATAGGGATGTTAGCCAGAATGTTATTTGCTATGTTTTTGTCACCCTTGTAAGCACTGGAATCGCGTAAGGTCTTCATATTAAAAAAGACTACCTCGTCCTTTGTTGGATCATCAAGTTGATTTAAAGTAAGCTCTCTTGATTGTATTTGGGTTTTAAGACCCAAAGCTTGTCCAACTTCGGCTTTTCTCCTTTCGGTCTCGTCTTTAAGATGGGCTGCGAATAACGACAATTGAGTGGTCTCAATAGCTAACGTACTTTCATTGAGCACAGCTAAATTTGGAGTGAGAGACTCTATTATCGAGTTGTAACTTTTAAGCTGATCGGCTCGGAAATCAATCTCTCTGGTCAAAGTTGCTCTGATTTCGGCAGAAGGTCTCGGTTCGGCATCTCTTAGTGCTCTAACCCGGACGTTCTCGGCTTGAAGCAATCTTACTAACTCAGTTAAATAACCGACCACAGCCTCTGGGGACTCATTCGCAATTCTCGCCCTGTGGACACTGGGGAGTTCATCTACCTTAGGGACAGGCAACGACATGGCAATTTTGCAGAGTTTGGTTGTCTAAACGCACTTGGCTCACGTAGTCACTTTCAACACTCTCACTTTTGCGCGGGGGATCCCTTTTCTAGTGACGACTGGTATTTTTTAAGTTTACTTTTCCTTGGACTGGGTAAAAGATTTCGTTAACAAATTTTGTACACAATTCGTTGGGGAGAAATTTAAAATTATTGATTCGTAACTCAACAATCAAATTTCTCTAGAAACACTTTTTTACCTCAGTCTCTTTTTCTCGTCGAACTTTCAACTCTTTTCACCAGCAATCGCGTCACCTGCAAGAACCACTACACTTGGTGCACTTTAAATGCAGCAACTCTAGGGATCCACCCCTCCGAAAAAGAAAACTACGGCTGCGCCAAATTTGTTATCCAAAAACTATTTTACGAAAGTTGTTGGTCAACGATGATCAGTCGTTGATGACTCTTTCTAATAATTAAAGGAAAAGGGGATCGGAGATTTAAATCGTTTTCCGCGACTTTCGAAGGAAACGCAAAAGTTACTCCGTGAGAGTATTCAAAATGTTTATTTATTTATCTTCACACACAGTCGATACAATAATGTTCTAGCGAGAGCGAAGCGACGCAGATTCGGCGTTCGGACAGTGTCTGGTGCGGTAAACTTAACTCAACATAAAATGCACCTGTATATATAGCTTCGGCCGGCCGAGGTCGAGGAACGCGCATAGAAACCGATTCGGATCGGGGACATCATGCTTCGTTTGTTTCAAAGGAAGGAAGCGTGAGCGCGGTCGGGAAAGTATTCCGTCAACAACGGGATTGTGAAATATAATTGCTAGCGCACCAGGCGCAGCCAAGCGTAGCGGAAATACATTAGCTTAAAAGGGTCGTGCGTAAAGTGAAGGGTGTTGTGGTCGTTAATATGACTACAATGCTGTACAAGTACATTATGTTGTATATTTTTTTGGAATTCGACTCATCTGGATGAAATCTCCGCAGATGGCGTGGCAGTGTTTACAAACTGGTGTGGCAGAATCTGGCAATTTGGCTAGCCCTCTATTACATCATCGCTCTCTGGTACCGGCAAGGCATGGGCGTTCATTGGAGGCCGTAAGTACTGTGCAACAGCGTGTAAAGTAAAATGGGGCCCCGAATTGCGGACATAATCGGTGCTTGGACCTCGTCCCCCCCACAGTCGGATCAAATTTTCCCTTGGGCTTCAATAATGGGAATACTTTTAATCATTTCTCATGTCGATGAAAAAATATGAGGAAAAGTCTCCCCAAAAATTCATGGAATTTGCTTTTTCATCTTCAAGATGCAGAAAATAACTGCAGAAGAAACTCACAGAAATTCTGATGGCCTTGCATGAAAAAGAGCCCAAACAGTGAAGAACAACCGAAGGTCTTGTTATACTGTGCACACATGATGGAAATAACCTTTTGGAAAATAAACATTAAAGGAAGCCGGTTTTGAATTATGGATTACCGTACATTTTTGAAAGGAAATACTGTATTCTCAATTTTTTCTAAATACAAAAAGCTCAATTTGTTCTGAAGACATCAGTAATCACTTTCATTCCTCACTCTCATGCGAAGAAAAAGAAGGAAAGATGAAAAAATCATGATGGCATTCATTTTTGTGTCAGGAAATTCGAGTACATCTGTCGGTACTGCGACAAGTACATAGACCTGATCCCGCTGTCATTTGTGCTCGGGTTCTACGTGAACCTGGTGATTGGGAGATGGTGGACCATGTGGGATTTGCTGCCCTGGCCCGACAACGCCGCCTTCTACGTCGCCTCCAGCTTCCCGGGCTCAGTAAGGCGCCACTTCATAAATGTAGTCTGTGTAAATACAGAAAAATGAGAACCTAAATTAGACTTTAGGTGACATGATATGAATCCTTTGATTTTTTTACAGTATAGTTGCACTGTGCATTGTTGTACAGTGAACCCCCTTGTTGATGATTAAAAAAAAAATTTGGTTAAAAACTTTTGGTTTCCAGAAAAAATCCCTTGGTTAATGAATCAAAATTTGGTTGAAAAAACTTTTTTCTGGATTAAATCCTGAATTGGAGATTGGAAAATTTGATTTTGAGGCCGAAATTTACGGTATATAGTCTGAGGGCATATAATTCACCTGAGCAATGATGAAAAAATTCTTTCCTCCTGACAATTTACTAATTGTAATCTTGTATTGTAACATTTGTTTCAGAGCAAAATTATTCATGTGCTTTTCTGTTTCAAAATTACTTGCTTTTCTGTGCATGGTTTTTCTATTTGTTAAATTTTCATAAATTTTGATTCCCCTTTACTTGCACCATCAACAAAGGAATTATTTATCAACCTGACATGCATCCTTTAATTTTTTAATGTGACATAAAGATAAAGCTTTTTACCTTTGTCCTCATCCCTGCTATAGTTCCATCTATCACTGTAAAAATATTCTGGGCACATACTAGAAGCAGCAATAGATAATTCTGCTTATAGTTGATGGTATTGAATTTTCATATTTTATGTTCAATTGTCACTTGGGTTCATGGAACATATTAAATTCTTACCCGTTGAAATCTTTGGAAAGATCAAATTTGGTGACCAACTTTTTTCTAGAACCAATCAAGTTTGTTAACCAAGGGTCAGCTGTATAGTCTGCAGCATAGCTGAAACAGCAGTACCTCTGGTGATTCTCCAACAGCCATTGAAATATGCAATACTTCGAAAACACTAATTCAAACAATTTTTTTGTAGCAGAAGGATAAAAAAAAAACCGACCAGAGCTGGAATTATTATAGCTTGTGTTATAAACTGAACCTACTGATGATTTGGAGATTATGACAATTTTTCTTTGGGTCCCCAAAAATCAATTTTATACGTATGTAGTGGACTCAGAAGTAAAAAAGCAGATTATTGGTACTAACAGTGCTGATGGATGATCTTCCCTGTTCTTTTTCTCTACTTCTCATTGCTCACTTATTTTTCTGTAATTTGCAGGATGAAAAGTCGCGAATTTTGCGCAGGACAGTCGTGCGGTACATCAACTGCTCCTCAGTTCACACCAAGTGTTTGCTCAGCCAGCGGGTGAGGAGGAGATTCCCCACCATGGAGCATTTTGTATCTGCAGGTTGTTCATTATTTCACAAATTTTCAAACCACTGTGCTATACAGATGTAAAGCATATACGAGAGTTGTCACAATGACGCATATGATTGATTATTCCCAGCGTTTGGTAAACATTTGCAGAACAAACATCGTTTTTTTTCTGTTCCTGTGCATCCTGTTACAACCACATGAATTAATAATTTATTTTTTTCAGTAACAAACTAATGACAACTTTTTTAAAAGTGTTACAAAATGCGAAAAGTGTGTGTGCAAAGTTAAAACATAAATATGAATTTTCAACTTTCCTAAAAAAAATATTCACATCGTGAAATGAGGGAAACAAACCTGACATTTATGGGGAAGTTTCCAACTGTTCATCATGCAGTGCGGCAAAAAAATCCCAAAAAAACAGTCTTTCAACCTCATAAAAAAATGTCTTTCTTAAAACGTTTATAATTTTCTTAAATGTTCAACTAAATGCTTCCTTGGGACAACCCTTGTTAACTGGAATGTATTTGAGTCATATACCTCCCTATGCCAACATTTTGAGGCCTTGTCTTAATTTCCTGAAAAAACAGTGCATTACAAAGTATTTTAACTCAAATGCTTTCCTGCAAATCCCCATAACTTGAATTTTCTAGAGTCCTTTTGGCTATAATTTTATTAACCCATGAAAAAGAAAACCCATGAAAATGTTCACTTCCTTTCTAGACACATCAAGTTACAACTGATTGGGAAAATGAAGCCTTGCCTCCCTGTTCAGCATCTTGTCAACACATTGGAGAAGCAGTTTAAGATTCAGAATATCACCGTTTGAAATCTCCTGCAATTCTTTATTTCCAAAAAATGATTTTTTCCCAAACCCAAAACATTTCCAACTCACTTGAAGAGGATAGACTATATCATACGCTGAAATAAATAATACTGGCATTCATCTGAAATATTAGACTATTCTCTCAGCATTTGATATAGACTGGTTTATATTGAAGACCAGCCCTGATTTTCAGCAGTGAAAACAGTTGAACTAAGAAAAAGAAAGGGGAAAATGGAAATCCCTGTATAAAAAAGATAAAACCCTTTTGTTCGAACTTTTTCTTGAAACAGGATACAGGAATGCGTGTTTTACATTGATGACTGGAAGGGATTTCTTTCTTCAGCTCTGAATACATGGGTGTAAATGATTTTTGGAATGCAACAATTCTTAGAATTCTCTCAATTGTCCCCCATTTTCTTTGGCCGACCTACCGTACTTCTATTAGACCTTATCCATTATTTGTTTCAAGCCTTTCTGAGACATTGCCTTGGTTAGATATACTGTATACCTTCATTGGAGACCAGACATTTATTTGAGACAATATAATGTTTGAAGCATCTGTAAAATACAAGTAATACCCTGCAATTTGACCATTAAATTTGCTGGGAGGTCAACCTGCAATTTGAGTGCTGCCCCACAATTCAGCCCGCATAGAAATGCAAAATCTCAAGTACAATATAGAAAAAATTGCATTTGATACATCTTGCAATTCAACTGCTTCACAAATCAACCATAGTCCAGCAATTGATGATGGTCAAATTGTGGTGCCCCACCTGTATTCTGAAAAGCAAAGATTGTGTTTGTTTGAAGGACTGTTGACTGAGCCTGAAAGGAAGATCATTGAAACCTTGTCAGAGAAGCACAAGAAGCTCTACTATGTGCCCTTGCTGTGGGCCACCTTGATCATGACCAGGGCCAAAGAGGATAAACTTGTGAGTGAGCTGCAGTGGAAGTCCTGCGTGGACATGATTGTGGACTACAGGAACAGATGCAGTCGCAGTTTGCACATTGAAATTGTCAACATCCCTCTGGTTTACTCCCAAGTATGCATTCCTCATTCATTCCTTTCTGCTGTAAAGCACCCTTGAATTTTTTTTTGCATTTGAAATAATTAAACAGCATCAGAAGTTGGATTTTGCGCAGAATATTACACCAGTAAGACATTCTTTTATTTTGGTAACAATGTACATCAGTGGAACACCAAAATCCAGAAAATGTCACAATACAAAATATAGGAAGTTTTCCAAATTTCTAGGTAAATTCAAATTTTCTGAATTTTTCCAACTCTTGACCAAATTAAGATACAATTTTTGTTGTGCCTAGAATACAAGGCTATGAAAAATTGTAAGCCAAGGTCAGAAGACTCCAAATTACATGGTTGGGTGCCCTCAGCTAGGTCACTGAGTATGCACCAGAGTTGATTGGATGATGGTGGAAGGGGTTTGTAACGGGGTCCCCGCGCGACGAAAGCCCGGGACACAAAAGCCCCGCGCAACAATAGCCCTGACACGAAATTCCCGCCATACCCGCGCACAGCTGTAACGAAAGCCCCGAACTTTTTTTCAGGACTGGTAGTCTTCCGTAGTCAGTTTGGTAGTTGCCATTGGTTAAACTTCATTACTTTGTTGAGGGAAGTACACAAGCTCTTGAAGAAAAAAATACTTTATTTTTCAACAATAAGAAATTGAAACAAATAACAAAAGATTACAAAAAAATTCAAGAAAAAAAGAGAGAAACGGCAAAAGTTTTTATTTACAAAAAATTAAGAGTCTTTGAAATATTTTCCAAGAAATCCAAACGTTCAATAAGTTGGCTTTGATAATCTTTGCACAATTGACGCAGTTTTTTCTGGCGATCTCTCTCAAAAGTTGACACTTGCTTATACAAAAAAATTCAAGAAAAAAAGAAAGAAACGGGAAAAGTTTTTATTTACAAAAAATTAAGAGTCTTTGAAATATTTTCCAAGAAATCCAAACGTTCAATAAGTTGGCTTTGATAATCTTTGCACAATTGACGCAGTTTTTTCTGGCAATCTCTCTCAAAAGTTGACACTTGCTTATGTGGAATTTCACCATCTTCGTCAAATTTCTTCAGCGTTGTAGCAACTGATGCAGCATCTTGTTTCAGGCAGCGAATAATTTTGAAAAATACTGCTCCACACGTGGATTCCTTGAATTGTATATGGATTTCATCAATTCATTTACTATAGATATCTGATTATCCAAGTTGACATTTTTACAAATTACCACTCGACAAATACTCAAATATTAGTTATATCAAAGCATGTGCAGCATGACCTGAGAAAGTGATTTAATCGTCATATACACAGTACTCGCAAATACTTTTTGCAATATAACTTTAACAATTTTGCCATGGGGTGGTCCAAAAATTGAATTAATTCTACTAACTAATACGAATAGAAGAAATGGATAATCTAGTCTAATGACCGCGTTTTCTTGCCGGCATTAATTTGCATATATCGTGAATTTTCGAGTATTTACGGAATCCAAAAAATGAATAAAAGGAAAGATAAACTACGTGAAACATTGCATTCTGGCGAATACATGAATTGCTCGAATTTTTTCACCCAATCTTTTGCCACGCAGAAAAGAAAGTATTGTACAAATGTAAATTGATAATTGAATCGAAAGCTGTTGAAATCTTTTCTCAACAAATTAATGAAAATTTGATGATCCAAAAAAATTAAATTCAGGCGAGTGCCAGAGTTAATTTCCTTTGGTTTCATTACATGCAAAAATCGCTGCGCCTAATAGAAATGAATTATGTCGTTTCATCAGATTCGCATGCAAAATACTATACTGCAATAGTGGCTTCATCGTAATTTTCTGAAAAATTGCATTCTTTCCAACAATTAGTTAGAGTAGAACTTGGATAATACGTTCATTGCAGCGTGTTATTGTCCGCATAATTTTACAGCATCTGGGATTGTTGAAGATTATTGGGAAATTCCATTCAGCAATGGAATACAAAATCCACGGAAGTTCTGGCCCAATATTTTGCCTACTCTTCAATTCGCAGAGTTCTCATCATTAGCAAGAACGGAGTTCAGATGGAAATCCCCTGATGGGAAATTCAGATTGCTCTTGATATAAACTTGCTCAATTGTTGTACATTATATTCGTTTTGAGAATCTAAACACTTATTTCAAAACAGGTCTTACCAAATCCTTCAAATGTCTACATAATCGTTATTTTCCCAGAATTAAAAAAAAATCCAAGTATAATTCAGTTTTACCTCCACGCACTGAAAAGAAAGCCAATCAATGCTAATCTCCGGAATACGGCCGAATATAATAAAGTGATTTATTTCATATTACCACGTAGTGCCATGTTTTCAGAGTTCAATGATGCTTAAAGAAGAGGTTATCTCTTTCAGATACAGTATATTCCAAATTAATTCACTCATTCGGAAAATGCATCGCCAGAAAAAACTGCGTCCATTGTGCAAAGATTATCAAAGCCAACTTATTGAACGTTTGGATTTCTTGGAAAATATTTCAAAGACTCTTAATTTTTTGTAAATAAAAACTTTTCCCGTTTCTTTCTTTTTTTCTTGAATTTTTTTGTAATCTTTTGTTATTTGTTTTGTTTCAATTTGTCATTGTTGAAAAATAAATCATTTTTTTCCTCAATAGCTTGTGTACTTCCCTCAACAAAGTAATGAAGTTTAACCAATGGCGACTACCAAACTGACTACGGAAGACTACCAGCAGTCCTGAAAAAAAGTTCGGGCGGGGCTTTCGTTACAGCTGTGCGCGGGTATGGCGGGGATTTCGTGTCAGGGCTATTGTCGCGCGGGGCTTTCGTGTCCCGGGCTTTCGTCGCGCGGGGACCCCGTTACAAACCCGAAGATACTTGTTCTTCCATGTGTGCCTGCTATTATTTGAGGTCTCCTCACAAATTATTTCAAGCAAAATTAGGCTGCACTTCAGGATTCTCCAGTAATAATGGTGAAATTATGACAAATCAGCTCTCTTCTTCTCCAGAACGTTTTGACAAATACTGAAGCAATAAACAGCTGTGAAAATACTGGGAGAATTCTTTCCCAGTTTGTTTGTGATTTGAACAGAAACCATGGAGTTTGTGTGAAATGTTTAATGTGTGGCGCAACTCTTGCGTGGGCCATGGGAAAACCCTGTGAGTGTTACCAACATTTTAGTAAATTTAAAAATACTTCAAAATCCGAATCGTGGGAAAAATTGAATATATTTTTTCATGAGAAATGTGCTTTGAACTAATTTCAAGATTTTTACAGTTTTTGTATTCAGAATTCCAGAATTGAGTTGTAAGTTTTGAATTTCTTTTATCTCCCATTTTTCTAAAAAAAATCGCGATCTTCTGCAATTGAGTGTTTTTTGCATGCAAAACGTAGGTGATTTTTGAACTGACAGGAAATATTGGCTGAAATATGCCGTGTACAGGAATATTTTAAAATTGAAGACATTTTTGAATGCTAGTGAAATTTCATTATCACATAACTTTTCAATTTTCATTCCTTGTGAAATGTCATTTTTTTTTATTTCTACATAGGATCACCATAGGCACAATTTTATAGGATCGTTCAGAGAATTTTCGCATTTCAGTGACAATAAATTTGTTGGTTTTTCCAATATCTAGCATTTCCCCCTATACATTAACAGAGCATATTGAAAAGTTCTTCAATTTGTATATCTTGCCTTCAAAAGGAATGGAAGCAAATGCTAGAATATAACCATTTCTATTTTTTATTACTTATTCAGATATTTTATGGGAGAATTTTTTTCATTTTCATTCCGTTTTATATAAATATTATTTTTGAAAATTTTTTGGTTGTCAGAAAACATCATCTTTAGGGTTTGAAGGAATAAATCTGTCGATGGAACAATGTTCAACATTTCTCCCAGAAAGTCTCAATATGAAGATTCTTTGCAGCAGAATTGGATTTGTTGCCATCCCTGATGGAAGTTTAATGTAAGAAGATTTCACTTGTTTATTTTGAGTGGCTATTTTTGATAGTGCTGTTGTTTGTGGGGTTAAGTCACCTTCTGAATTTACGGTACTACGTTTGAAACGTTCAAAGAATCAGAAACCCTTTGAATAAAATAATCAGGAAATTGCATTTCCTCTTTCACCTGCTGAGTGGTACCTCTGATGAAGGGGGCCTTGCTCTTTCCTGTCCAGCAGGGAGAAATATTTGACGGCTTACTTTCTAGAGGTTTTCACCCAGTGAGAAGCCCAAATTGCTCAAGAGCGCATCTGGGAAGTGAGCCTGGCGCAGCAAACAAACAAACCATTCTCCTCACCATGTTTTCCTTGCCCTTCTTGATCCTAGGAGGAAAAAGAAGGGGGCAACCCTGGTATAAGTGACCTGACCTTTGTGTCTGCATTGGAGCCATGAACGTTGTGCTGATAACAGTGCACAGGATCTACGTTTAAAAAAAAATCATTTTGTGGGAAATAGAGCTGGGATCTGTGTGGTTCTGACTCTTTCAATTTCGTGGTACCTTATCTTATCTGAGTATGCTTGAAACTCTGCTGGCTGAGTAATGTCATTTTTTAAAAAAGGATCCTACTTTTGAATGATGTGTAGGTGATAATCCTCAGTCTGAGGATACAAAATATGAGACACTTTCTCTTGTGGGGAATCCTAGTGTCATTCATTTCATTGAAAGCCTTTGGTACCAGAGTGTTTGACTGGGAAGATATCAAAGGTAGTGCGCAATCTCATTTATGCCCCAATAATGCATCATTTTGTGCTGGAAGAGATGAAGAGCTGCTTGGAAGTCCAAACAACATGCTGGATGGGGAGTGAGTGGAGATTCTCAATTGAGCTTTTTTGTATATGGAATCCCATGCAAGTTTTTTTGTAGTTTTGACATGACCCCATGTTTTTGCGACATGGAGTGTTTAAGATATGGAGACTGTTGTGTGGACTTTGCTGCTCAGCATTGGGGGAATGGAGATGAGCATCTCAGTGATTCTCATGCTTGTCTGCCTCTACAAGAAGATGTGAGCTGCATGAAGAATTTTTCACCAACTTTCAAAAAATTCTGTGATGTTTGCATGTAAAAGTTATTCACTGAATTATTTTTGAAATCCAACTCAGTGTAAGTACAGTCAACCCCCGGTTAACGAACCATCTGGTTAACAGATTTTTGGTTAACAAACCACCGAAAATCTGGCCTATTTTTCATGGAGTGGTCCTGTTAACGGACCGTCATTTGGTTAACAAACCGAGGTCCGTTTTTCTGATTTTAAAAAATTCCTAAAAAATCAATTGTCAATCAGTTTTCAAATTTCTTGCAGTGCAAAGATGTTTTCTACATTTCCTATTTTTTAAATGTCAAAATGTAAAAATTTGACAGAAATACAATCAAAAATGTAAAAACATTTTTGAAAACTTTACAAAAATCATCAAAAAATGTTTTTACTTTTTGAATTTTAGCTGTTTTAATTTGCAACATTTTTCAATGAATAAAAGAGTAAACTTGTAAAACATCAGTGTGCATGACAACCTCTGAATATTTTTCAACTTTCATCAAAAGCAAATAAATTAGAATGAGCTAAACTAAAAAGTTTAAATTCTTGTTGACATTTTCCTCCCCAATTTTCATATTTTAAAATTTGCCAAAAAATTAATTATGTAAGGAAATACAAATTTTAACTGCCTAAAAAGCATCATGAAGTTCTCCACATTTTCCATTTTTCAAACCTTAAAAAAATTCAAATTGACATAGTTGAAAAGGCAAATGTATAAAACCTTTTCTGAATCCATTCTTTAAAAATATTTTCTTTCAAATCTGAAAATTTCTAAAAAATTTCCTACTTCACCAAACTTTGAGTCTTCAAAGGGATTAGAGTTCAGAATTTTTTTTGAATTTTCAAGTTTTGTGTTGAAAAATGTACAAAATTGAGAATTTAAAGTAAAAAGCTGGAATTTTTAAATTTTGTAATTGAATGACTAAGAACTGCTTCATTTTTTAATGTATTGAGGGTGCATAAAGTTCAGGGGTTGTGCAGTTTCAGAATGTCAGTGTTTTTTAATTTTCAACCCAGAAAAGAAATTCCCCCTTTTTTTTTTACAAAAAAGGTGCTTTTTAATTTCCTCCTCTTTTCTTTCTTTGGGTAACAGGAGAAATTCTCCCCATTTTTTAAATGGGGTTTGTTTCCCCTTTTCAAGAAGTGGGAATTTTTGAGATGGGGTGTTTTATGAAATGTTCCTTTTTTCTTAAAGAAACTTGGAAGATTAAAAAAACTTTGACTTTCTGTATTTGTAGAACACCTGCATTTTATGCTTTGTCAATAAATTAAACACTGAAGCACAGTTATTAGAGAAAAATTTGAAGTTCTAGTTTGCTTCTCATACATTTTTTAATTTGCTAGATTTTTCAACAAAAAACATGAAAATTCAGAAAAATATATTTTCCTCTCATCTCTTTGAAAATTTGAAGTTTGGTGAAGAAGGAAATTTTGCATAAACTTTGTGATTTGAAAGAAAAAATAATTTTGTAAGAATGGATTTAGAAAAGGTTTTATACATTCTCCTTTTCACCTTATTGTAAATTTAAATTATTTTTAAGGTTTAAAAATGGTAAATGTAGGGAACTTCATGGTGCTTCTAATGCAGTTAAAAATTTGTATTTCAGTGCATAATTACTTTTTTGGCAAATTTTAAAATATGAAAATTGGGGAGGAAAATTTCAACAAGAATTTAAACTTTTTAGTTTAGCTCATTCTAATTTATTTGCTTTTGATGAAAGTTGAAAAATATTCACAGGTTTTTATGCACACTGATGTTTTACAAGTTTACTCTTTTTTCATTGAAAAATGTTGCAAATTAAAACAGCTAAAATTCAAAAAGTAAAAACATTTTTTGATGATTTTTGTACAATTTTCAAAAATGTTTTTACATTTTGGATTGTAATTCTGTCACATTTTCAGATTTTGGCATAATTAAAAATTGGGAAATTTAGAGGACATCCTTGCGCTTGCAATGCTGAAAAGTATTTGAAAATTGGTTCAGAATTCAATTTATGACAAATTTCCAAAGTTAAGTAATTGGGAAATATTTTTGAAAATTTGGAACGAATTTAAATTTTTAACATGTAACTCTATGGTGGATCTCATTTCGGTTAACAAACCCCCCGGTTACTGAACTAGTTCGTGGAACAAATTAAGTTCGTTAACCGGGGGTTGACTGTACTCTACAGTCAAATCTCTTTATAGTGAATTTGAATGGTCCAGCATTAAATTTTGATGTATGGAGGTTTTGACTTAGGGAGGTTTTGACTTAGGGAGGTTCTGACTTAGGGAGGTTTTGACATAGGGAGGTTTTGACTTAGGGAAGTTTTGATTTTAAAAGCAGTTTCAAATTGGTTAAACTAGCATTTCTGTTGAGGGGAAGGTAGAAGAATTGCAGAAAATTGTAATATTGATATTCTGGGCCCTAACCTCTTAAATGCATTATTCAAAGTATGCTGAACTTAGTGGCATGGGTTAATTTGCCCAATTAGTCTTTCCCTTGCTTTCAAAATACATCAAAATATTTTTGGCCTGTTTCTTTCCTGCGCTAATTAATAAGTAAAAGGCTTCAGAAAATTCAACTTATGAAGGTTTGGAAGAAAAAGCCTTCAAGTTAGGGAGGTTTTAAATGCATAGATTTTAAGATAAATCAGATAGGGACTTTTAAAATATGTGTCTTAGGATTTAGGGAGGTATTTGCCTCAGGGAGGTTCTAGTTATTGAGGTACAGCTGTAGAAATATTCACTTCTTAATATTCTTTCATGCTGCTGTTATTTTTGGGAAAAGAGAGAGAAACGCAGAAGAAGAATGCGGGTGAGTGACTGGAACAGATTTTACACTTAATCAGAGGGAATTGAACTGAGTTTTTTTAATGGTGTATATTCTCTAGGAAACACCCCAGCATTCAAAATATATACATTTAATAGTGACTGGCAGTTCTTTTAAACAGTTGAGACAGTGGGAAAAGAAAAAAGGAAATTTAAAAGATGGAAGGGAAGCCAAGATGATAATATGAAAAGCAAATTGATTGAATATTTCAATATTGATTGAATTCCTAAAAAAAATTGTTACTAGGAAAGGGACTCTTTCTTTGGCTCTTATAATTCATGCATGGGTGTAAAAGATTTTTTAATTAAGAAGATTCTCCCACCCCCCCCCCCTTTTTGACCCAGCCTGTATTGTAGACCAGGCATTTTCTTTTAGAAGAACTACTATGCATCAATATTTCTTAATTTTTGCAAATCCACAGTTGGACACTGTCTTCATGGTATCCAAGTGTCCCTTGTCTTACAATTCTGAAGACATGTCATCCAAATGCTCAAGATCTCCTGGCATACCCAATGAGGACTACACCTACTTATTGGATCTACCAGTATATTCAAATACTTCCAAACACTTGTATGCCAATTTTTATTGCGCCATCTGTCATGGGGAAGATCTCAAGGAGCTGTGGAGGTGGAACATGACCTTAGCTTGCATGACAAATGTGGTGGGATATTCACCAGAAGAGTTTATGGCCAGTGCTGAGTACACCAGAGGTACCTTGGGCTGGACAAGAAGGTTTTGGAATAATTCAGGGTGAATGACAGTTTTTCTTGGTTTGCCATTTCAAGAAAATGGAATTTGCATGTCTCTGGATTCATATAAACAAATAACAGATACTGCCAACAACTTGAATGCCAAGTTTGCTGTACTCGGCTTTCCCCACTAAAGTATATTCCAGTTGAGCTTCTCCTAGTTTCCTGATTTGAATCAACCCCTTCTATAAACTTAGTTGAGGAAGATTAAACTTAGTTGAGGAAGATTAAACTTAGTTGAGGAAGATTAAACTTAGTTGAGGAAGATTAAACTTAGTTGAGGAAGATTAAACTTACAACTCCTTCTAATTTGAATCAACTCCTTCTAATTTGAAACTACTCAAAAACTTACAATCAAATTTTTAAGTTGAGCAATTTTCAACTTGCATACATTGATAGTAGGAAAGGATATCCCGGTCAAATTATTTGAATTGTCCATCATTAAAAGATACAAGTGAAACCTTGCAATTTGACCTCCCACAATTCAAAAATCCTCTGTAATTTGACATGTCAAATTTGCTGCGAGTTCAACTCTCAATTCAACCTGTGCTTGGCTGCTTGGCCAGAAATGTTTTCAGGAAAGATAGTTTAAAATGGTTTTCAGCAATGAACTTTGAGGAATTTGCCAATGATCAACTGGGCATTTGAATTTTCAACATATTTGGCTATTTGACAAGGTCCAACTGGGAATTTGAACTTGCAAGTTATTTGATTATTTGACAAGGTCCATCTGAAGTGACCACTTAGCAAGATTTTTAGAATGATTTATGAGTGCAATTACTGCGAATTTTTCTGCTAAATACTTTTACAAGTACTGTGAATGCTTCTTCTGAATACTTTTATAAGTGCTGTTAATGATTCTGCTGGATACTTGTACCAAAACACAGAAACCAAGTCACACACATTCAGCATGTAGTTGAAAGCTTGGTTTCTTTCCCATCTCAGACCATGGAAAACAGATTCAGCTATAAGTGTAAGGTTTTACAATGTGAAAATAAATTTATCAAGCCTTACACCTTGATTGTGAATTTTGGGCAGAGTTTCAAAAGGTCAAGAATTTCAAATTACAGCAATTTATAGTTGAATAAATCAAACACAGCAATTGGCCGGGCGCAAACCGACCGGGATTTCTCCCACTAGCGCAGACCTTTCTTT